GATAGAAAAAAAAAGAAAAAAAAGGGAATAAAGGTTTTTAGTGTATTATAGAGTGTCCTTGAAAATCTTGACACAAGTTAAGATCATTTGTTTCTTATAATGACAATTATAATTCTTTAATGTTTTTAGTTACTATTAGAGAAAATTTATTTATTTAATATTATTTTTGATTGTTGTGTAAGATAAAAAAAAATGTGCAACTTTGGTTTTATAATTAATTGTTGCAAGAATAGATTTATAAGCATCTAAGATTTAAAGATGTATGACTAGTACTATTAAAATAAAATTAATATACTTATTATTGATTAAATAAAAATTGAAGCAATTTACAAAATTAATCATGTGTAATCTTCTCTTGTGAATAAGTGTGATAAGTTCGAATAAAGTTTTTGACACTTTTTTGGATTTGTAATTATTAAATATTATGTATTAAGTTCATTTTTTTTAATATATCTAAAATATAATATCAATAGGTACTGTTAATAGATAAGTTATCTCTTTTTTGAAGAAAAAATAATTATGCATGTCTTTTTCAGAATCACAAATGTTTTTCATAACAAAGAAGGTTGTCTTTGGACAAATTTATTAGAAACATTGTAAAGTCTTTTTAAAAATCCAAAATAAGAAGATATGTTGATTTATTTGAACAAAGTTTATAGAAAAAGTAGTTTTGTTTAAAATTGTTGATTTTATAATTCAGAGATGTGATTTTTTTGAATTTCAGAAAGGTGATTTTTTATTACCTGCATGTGACATCTCTCTCTTTTGGCACAAGTTAGAAAAAGTCTAAATACAACATCTAATAAGATTATATTTCCAAGAAAATATGCAATAATGGACACAAATTGTGACAAAATACATTCCAATTGACAAGGCTACAAGACAAGACATAAGTTGATACAAAATACTTAAGATTATTATAATTATTATAATTATGATGTAATTAAATTTAATTCTAAATATTTATATTTATCTTAAAATATATCTACAATTGTAAGAAATTTCTTATCATCAATTTTGTATTTAGTTTAGGCTTTTCAATTCTTTTTTTTTAAACATAAAAATAGAATAGTGTCTATTATTTGTATATATTTTGTGATAAATTTACACATAATATAAAGTTTTATAAATCTACTTGCATAAAAAAGGTTTTGAAAAATCTACATAATTGAAAACAAAAAATTTGGTGAAAGTTTTCATTTTCATTTTTGTCTTTTCTGAAACTTTTATATCTTTATTTTGCTTTTTACAATCTGTCTTTGCAAATTATTTGTGTGAATAAAAAAAAAACTTTTGAGAAATTCTTGATAAATTTTCAATAGTGATTTGAATTTTTTTAAAAAATCATTGAATATCGTGCAAATTTTTTAAGTTGGTCAAATCAATGATAATTTGCAAAGTATACAATAAATTTGAAGTATACAATAAATTTATATTACCAAATATTATTCTATTACTTTATTTTTACTATCAAAGATATATTGGAAGAAGAAAAGAAAACTATGATAGAAAGAATATTTTATATGTGAATATATATGTTAAAGAAAGATTTTAATATCTAATTTTATAAAAGTTAATAAAATAAAAATTAAAAAATTAATTTAGAGGTAAGATTGATCTATTAACAAAAAATTTGGTTGTAATATTAGTATGGAAGAAAACTTTGTTTATAATTACATCTTTGATAATGCCAATTTGTCAAATTAAGAGAAGAAAAATTATTATATTTTAAATTTTAAAATTAATTATTTTTTTCTTATACAAATGTATATTAATATAATTTAGCTATCTTTATATAATAGACGTGATAATTGTAGTTATTATAATTTTATCTACTTCATGTAGATAGATTTTTTAATTTTAACTTAATTTTTTATTATTTATATAAATTTGTGTTATAACGTTTTTTAGATAAAAAGTATTTAGTTTAATATAGAGTGAGTATATTTTAAAACCACCACAACATGAAAAGAAATATGTTTTAAAAAGATCCATATCTAATTAGAAATTTTCATTAGTGATTATTTTAAAATCAAGTCCTATGATGCCTACAACAATTTTAGACCATAGTTTAAGTCACAACACCAAAAACCTAGTTTTCAAATAAATTAAATATTTTAAATAAAAATTATTTTATGCATATTTATTTACAATATCTAATGCTTCTTTTAACAATCCTAAATTTTAGTACATTGAGTGTTTTGAAAAAAGACCTAAACTTGAAAAATAACAAATAAATCTTTTTAGAAAGTATAATAAGTAAATTATTTTAGAAAAATGACTCATAGTACCTTCTTATGTATGCTCTACAAAAATAATTTGTAAATGATTTGTAAAAAGATAAAAATAATCGACCAAATTTGAAAATGAATTTATGATTTATAAAAATTAAAGTATTATTAATAGAGATAGATAGAAAATATAAACAACCATTGTTTAAAGCACCACCTGAAAATTAACTCTAACAACCATCTACTCCAATTTAATATTCTTTATAAATAATTTTGTGCAATCTTGTTTATTATCATCAATTTTTTTTTCCATAGAATCTGTTATATTTTCTCAATTCTCTTGATAATATAACATTTGAACTTTAAGTTATTTTATTGAAGGTACGACTTTTGATATTTTTTTAAAAATATATCAGAGTCTGGATAGATAAATTGTTTTTGACTTTTATAAGCTTTTGACATTTTTTTTTAATTTTTTATTATACACTCAACAATTCTTGTAATCCAAAAGAATTTGAATTCTCAACAACACTTACTTATTTAAAGAATCATTAAATTTAACTGTTGAACAAAAGTTTATTTTTGAGTTTTCTCCTGAGATTTATAAAATCTATATTTTTATAAGATCACAAATTAAATGTAAATTTATTTTTTACTTATTTCAATAATATATATATATATATATATATATATATCCTAATAAGTTTTAGAATGTTCGGAAATCGTTATTAAATTGCTAGTAAACTGATATTGGCACCAGACCTGGAGCTTGTAAACCAAATAAGATAAGTAATTGAGTTCCAGGGTTGAAGGACTCATCGTCCATTTCCGTAGAGTCCAGTGCCGAAACGTCGCATGGTATCATCAGAGAGAAACACAGAACCTTCAGTTATTCGAAGAAGAAGAAGAAGAAGTTAAAAGAATAGTTTCGGAGCATCACAGAATTTCTCATATAAACCTGCAATTTTGTGCTGTCATGGTGCTCTAGTTCATCACCGCACTGGTTGGGTCAATCTGCTCATAGTTTCACTCTTTTCGCAGAACTGAAGATATGGATGGTGAGGTTTGCTTGTGAAATTACAAGGCAAAGTTTGCTTCTAGTGTTGTGGCTCGCGCAGGCAGAGTTTTGTGCTGAGTCTGCTCAGCTCTCCATATCTCGTTCTCTTTTCGGCCTTGTTTGGATCGATCAGAGTTCTGTCGGTGCTTCGATGTAATGGGGTGTATGAACATGTGCATCGAGATCGTGGGGTCAGAGGAGCTTATCTGCTTGATAATTTTTCGGCTGAATAAACCGAGCTCGTGAGAAAGTAAGAAGATGATGCACGTGATTTATATCCGACTTGTGCTGCATTTGTCACCTGTCAATAGACATCTATCACAGCCTGATCCCGCCTGAGAAGCATTCTTGGGCTGTCATTGTGAGTTAGACCTGGGCAGGTGTATAACGTATAGTTACTGCTCTTAGTCAAGTTGTTTTCTTGTTTTAAAATGACCTATGAGTGGATACCGACCAGTGAATGTTTAAGTTGTTTTTTGGCGAACCCAGTATCATCAGCATCTACTGTGCACATGTTGAGTCGCTGAGCTGGATTTGTTTGCAGTGGCATAGTATCGCATAGAATAATATCGGAAGCAGTTTCAATTGCAAATCAGCCAGAGCAGTACAGTCTGAGTTTTTGTAGAAAGCGTCCGAAATAGTCTGTGCACTTCATACCAGTTCGATTATACACTGCAATGAAGTGATGTTTGTTTTTTTAATATCTAGTTCATATAATTCAAACAATTTGAAATACGATGTTAGAATGATGAGGTGATTTCATTACGGAGGAATGTGTCTTCTTGCCCTTTTTTGGCAAGTTACAGTTAATGACACTGTACACCAACGTGTATGAAAGCAACTCATGCTGGAATAGGTCAATTCTAGGAGGTGAGGAATCCAAATGTGAGAAAGTGAGAATATTTTAATAGCAGGTGATATGAAAGATAACCAGATTATGATCTGCGGAACGATCTCCCAGTGCATGTTTGAGCTTCACGGCATGGTCTTTGAAGCTACTGGTATCCGTCGTGCTTATCCGTCCAACTTGGATAATGTTTCTGTGTTATGAGATTCAACTTGGACAAAGCTTCCTGGGGCGTCACTTCAAGATTCTCTGCTATCATCGTGCCATCAAACACGCGATAGGTTTGCTGTCCGAAGCGGCTCCGGGGTCACTCCAGACATGAGAGGAGCTGGGTTACTACTTGGTTGGGTGCACTGAGAAAGCTCATCCATTTTCCAGAAGGATTTAAGATTTTGGAATTGCTCCTGAGACTGCATTCGCCTGATCTTTGCTTTTTAAAACCTTCGAAAGTTGGTTTTTTGATTGTGGTTGGAGGTCAAATCATTTTCCCAGTTCGATTGTCCAATTACGAAGTGCTTCTGTAAGGTTAGGGTGTACGTGTAAAGGAGTTTCATTCTTAAGCCCTGGTAGAATATTTGCCATCTTCTGTTTCAACTTCACTTTTTTTTCTTTTTTTTTAAATGTATTTTACCAATCAATAGTTTGCAGTTGCCTAGGTGCTTAGACTGGAACTTGTTTTGACATTTACTCCATGGACAACCTACCCCACCAGGTTTCTCTCTCTTTTTCCCCCTTTTTTTGTGACAGACAGCAGGTTACGCGTGACGCAAGTTGGCATAAAACGAAGCGGTCTGGTAGGGTTCGAATTTCCATGCATGATAAGTTGGCTAGTCCTAGCATCCAGGATGTTGGCTTTTAGTAAAGATAATGAGAAGAAGTTGGCCACTTTCTGCTTTATATTGTCATGTTGCATCGGCTTTCGTGTCTAGAGAGTGGGGCATACGCACAGATATCACTGCTTTGTCTCCCTGAAATCAAGATTCTTGAATTGGTCTTCTCTACGCCAGGTTAACAGAAATCGGAACCCTAACTAGCAGCGTTAGATAAACAGACGCTGTGTAGACACGTTGTGTAATACCTCAGACTCTGGTTCATATGGTATGAGTTTTGTACTCTAAAGCTCTTCATGGTACTAAGTCGCTGTAAAGCCTGGCTTTGTGGGTGCTGTCAATAAGCCATGTCAATACGCCATGTTGTGTGTGGTTCATGACGGCCCATACTTTTGAACAGTCTGTAAGAACCACCATGTTATCACTGCTTCATTGGAATTATCTAGATCAGTAGAGGATACAACATGAAAGAATGAAACTCCAACTGGTGGAGACATCTAGTTCTATATTCGGTGATATGGTAATCATTAAATTGACCACTAGTGACAATGAATGTTAATTGGCAATCTGATCAACCATTGTGGCAACCTCTTGCAAATTAATTGCATTAGATGAATTGCACATCTAGTAGTTCATTGAAGGCATCTGAAACTTTAAGGTGTTCGTTCTTCAAATCTTCGTCCATGTACAAATCACACATCTATACTTACTTTGGTAAAGCAAATGAATTTGTCTAGCATGTGGAATTGGTTTCCCATCAGCTTAGGCTTCAGACGTTGGTTTGGAGACCTCACACATTGTTTCTAACCTGATATCCTTCATAATCACAACAGAAAATAATATAACTTTTGCAAAAAATTCAAGATTGAATTAAGCTGATCTTGATGTTAATATCGATTCCATATTAGGTTTTACATAGTTTAAATGAAAATCCAATTTTTTTGACTTGATTGGTTTGAATGAAAACAATATTAGTATTGAAACAAGAGAGAAGATTGACATGCAAAACACAATATTAAACTGTTTTATGAATCTCAGTAATCTAAATTTAAAATAAAAACTAAATGCACAAAGAATTCATGATTTCAATAAAAAGCATTTCATGCAATTCAATCATTATGTTAGAAGTCTCAATTGTTTTTTTTTTTTTTTTTTTTTTTTCAAAGTCATGCATTATAAATAGTTGTTTTTAAATGTTTGATGGACTTATAATATTTAAAATCAATTCCTTCTTTGAAATTTTTTGCAAGGTCTCAATAGATAACCTTCTTTGCAATGAATAAAAATTAACAGATGTCTAGACAAATAATTACAGCATTGATCCATGCATACACAAGCTTAATTGCATTGATTGATCCATGCATCACAAGTATTGATAAGAATTCACAAACCTGACTAGAATCGCCCAAAAATGTGTATACTACTATAAATATTTGGTTTCAAATCAGGACTTTCTCTGCTTGAAGCCTTGCATGTATTGGCTTGGAAGCAAAGTTGTTAAAATAGAAATGAAAGTTGCTATGAAATCAGTTCAATGCAAAGCATTCCTAAAGCAATTTGCCTGAATAACAGTGGCCATCAGCGATGAGAGAAGACGTGCATAAGTCCAACTATTCAAGTATGGATTACAAGTTTTACATACCTCGATTTCGACTAGATGCGAAAGTTAGATGCTTAGTGATACTAGAAACTGTACTCATTCACCAGAATGCCAGGGCATTCTGCAAGTTGTGCAGTCTGCCAGCCGATTGCAATCACACCGTGTAAATAAGTGAGCATCTGCAGCCGTCGGGCCCCATGTCATGATTGTTGAAAAGTCTGTCTCGACGTGCTCAGATTCTTCCGTGTTTCAATGATGGCTGTAGCACCTGCAAGTTTCTTTGAAAATATGAGCGGACACGAAGCAACAACTGTATGATGCGATTAGATGAACCTGCAATCCACCAAGACAAGGAAGCCAGCCGGAGAGAATGGTGAAGGGCTGTCATGCACATATCTGACTGGGTACTGACATGAGAGTAGGGTGCCACGGTCGTGTTTACACAACCGCTGTTTACTTCACTCTACAAGATAGGGTTTGGATGGTGCTAAGTTTGACATCAATAAGCCAATTCAAGGACCATGAATCCACGGCGCCGAAACGACGGCGATACGTCAAACGACGCCTCGGCGAAAACGTCTCTGCATGAGCCCCACTCGGTTACGTGTAGATAGGACACCAATCGAACACACGAAACGTGATACTGTAAATCGGAAAGTAGCAAGACGCTACTCCTCATCTCCTATGCTGACTATAGTTGTTTCAGCCAGATAGAGTTGACAATTACTAATGATAAGCACCCTGTGTAATCCAGGAGTTTGTTCAATTAGCTACCCAATCATATGATAGATTGTGTGGAAGTTATTCTGAGAGTAACGTCCAAGCCGGAGCCTCGGGTCACAAAGGAAAACTATCTAAATTTGGCGAACATGCACACCAGAAACCAATAGCTGAGATCTGGAGTTAAAACATGCCCAGGTCATGGTCATTATCAAGTCTAACAACATCCTGACAAAGTCACTTCCGATCTTTCTCGCTTGTGCACCGCACACCAGGATATGACCTCTATTGTGGCGTGAAATGCTTTCAAATGTGTTGCGCGTCATTATCTGCAATTTGTGACTTGCTTTACAGTGCAAAAGCGCACAAATGCTCCCTGCTGAATGTGTCACATCTTACGAAAAAATTGACCACAGTGAGACGCTTTAAATCGTCTAGACCAATTTGAGAGATTGCTTTATCCCCTGAGATGAACTACAGACTTGGTGCACAACCTCCACTCCAGCGGCTATGATGAACTCAGTCAGTGTTCCGAATATCGCACTCAAGCCAGTATCCTCTACGTACCCCTTTCTAAGCACTCCTCTTGGTACAAAAATATCCAACTTAACCTGTGCAGACGCAACTCTGACGTGGGTTCATAACCCACATGAGTCACATGTTACACTGGTCGCTACCTACTTTGAATAAGCGTAGCTGACAGAAACTGCCACTGTGGAATTAAGGAACAACCTGAGTGGTATTTGAGAACAAGTGGATGACAGTGAATAAAAACGCTAGGTAAGGTTCAGACAATGTCACGAAAACTTGTGTACTCACAGCTGGATTGGAGAATATGGTTTGTTTAAGCTGCAAAGTTTCAACCCAACAAGAAGCATATCACGAGCATACAGGACTGTGAAAATTCATGTAAGAGATTCTGCAAGACAACTGGCTGGCACGCAAACGGCGGTTATAACGAATGACTACGTGGATTATCCCTGGAGACTTCCAGATTCCTTCAAGCCAAGACTGAAGAATTCCTAAGTCTTCGTTTCCTTCAGACGACGTGTGGACGGGATAAATGTGCATAGATTCAACATGTGATGCTACAAGCGTGTTTAGTTTAGACCAAGTTGCAGGTTCACCACTTGCTCCACAACTGAACCACCATTCACTGAGATACAGTGTTACAACACCAAACGCAGATGATACATTATCATGAACAAAACAGGCGGTGAACAGACCAGGGAAAATTCAGAACCTTGCAGTCCAAGTCAAATAACAGTCACTTGCAACCATGACGCATTCGAAGCAACGAAAACACCTCCAAAGTATCCAAAAGTGGCTGAAAAGAGGACAAGAGACGGAGAGCTGTGCAGACTGTGAGGAGGAAGCTGCTGGAGGGGGCCACAAGGAGCCACAAGCCAACTCTGCTCCGTCCCTCACAGCCTGGCCAGCTCCCCATATCGCAGCCTCATCATGCAAAAACTGCCTACCCTCGCTGCTGCGACGCTTCCACCGCCTTCTCAAGCAGCAGTTACGCCCACCAGCATCACCACCCACCTCTGAGCCGCAGGGCCTCGCGACTGATAACACTTGTCAAGACGGCACACACGCTTTATGAGCTTCGGATTCTCCCAACGTCATTGGTCAACCGGCTTCCACACTGCGCTAGCTCAGATGACCGAGAACCCAGGAGGGAGGAAGGGTAAGGATAAAGTTTTTTTTTTTTTTTTTTTTTTTCCTCTTTTTCTGGGGGCCGAATTACGGCACAATCCACTCGTCGATCATCTTCGGAGTCAACCCATACTACCCGTCGCCCAACCACCGGTCCAACCCCGTCCCCCACTGTCCACTCCATAAGCGCCGCGTTGCGTGGCTACAGCGGCATCCTGTGCACTATTAACACACTCCCCGGCTCCTTCGCGACGCACTAACAGCATGACGTAAGCGATGAGGTACAATCTCCAGTCTTTCTCCTTTACCGATTTCACTCACCTACACATCCTGCGTCACGGAATCTGAGCCATTCCAGCTCTCACACCATCACCACCACCACCACCCTAGTGGCACATGACGGAACGTTTCATAGCACCCCAGTATCCCACTCCCCCTCCCCTCCCCTTCCCTCCACGAAACTTCACAGCAGAAGACTCCACCCCATCGACGTGAAAAATACCGCAAAATCACTGCAACAAAGGAAGCCCGGTGAAACTGAACAAGGACACCATTCGAGGAAGGAAGGGTCCCGGGGTCCTGCTTTTGCTGTCACCTCCTTGTAGACCTTCCCTTCCCCTTCCGACTATCACGACACCATCACAAATATCCGGCGCTCTCCCAATCACGGCACCGAAAGTGCGCAACTTGGAGTGGCTTCCCATTGCATCAGGCTTCGTAAGATGGCCTCTCCTCCTCCTCTTCAGCCAGCCTGCCTGCCCTACTGCCCTGCCTTGCATTGCTTGCTGAGTCATGCTTCCGGCGTTGCTTGCTTGCTTGCTTACTTCATCGCCCGTCTCAGCCTCTTCACATTATACCCTGCACTCCCTCCCTCATTATTATTAAAATGATTATTATTGACTTGATCACAATATTCGGATGTATCTTCCACACGTTTATTGACGATGTGGATTTGGGTTTATCTTTGAGAGCAGGCTCTGGATTTCATTGGTTTGCACACCCCTGCTTGCTTCTCCATTCATGGAATGCCACTTATCCCTGCTCTCCTGCTGTGTTGCGTTTATATGCAAGACAGAAAAAGAGTGCTCCCTTTTCTTGGTGCTTATTTTCTTTCTGATGGATGTGTTGTGATGCTGTAGATCACTTTGTTGTTTTATTGCTGGGTTTTATATTGAAAAAGCGCCTAGTAAATAGTGATTTTAAGTGGTTGAGTTCCTCTGTTTTTATGCTTTTGTGTTTGGTGTCAATCAAATATATAAATTTAGCACTGGTAAGTTTAGAAAGGATTAGTGCACCTACAAGTTTTTTTATATATTATGAATGATATCAATTTTTTTATTTAGTGATGATTTAAATATTTAAGTAAAAGAATATTAAAAAAATCAATAAAGACATTGTATTTATATCAAATCATGTTATTTATAATAATTCATCTACTTGTTATCAATTTTAATTCAATAAAAAAAGTCATTATATTTAATAATTTTTACGTTAAATTTAATAAAATATTTTATGTAAAATATAAATTTTTATAATATTTTATATAATTAAAAAATAGAATTAAATATTATTTTTAATTTAAAAAATTAATTAAACTTATCATATATAATATATAATTTATTGTGAAGGACATAAATCACAAATAATAAAAACTTCAATATATTCTTGTATTACTAAAAAAGAACAGATATTTATTCAAAGATAATATAATATTAGACTTGGAATAGCTATTTTTAAGGATAAGAAGACTAGAGACTCTTGAAACAAGATTAAGAATAGAAAAGATGTTGAAAAGCATTAGGAAGACTTCACTTTTGCATATATATATATATATATATATATATATATACTATTTAACTTGAAATTATGTGGCAATACTCTATAGAACCTTCAACATATGTCCAATTTGCAGGATATGTGTCTAACTTATAAAATAAAAGTCATGTATGTATGCCACATGTCTAACTTATACCACAAGTCACCAACATGTGCAACATGTGGCCAACTTATTGGCTAAGTTTTTAACCTATCAGTTAATTACACATATAAAGTTAAAATTTTAATAATATAATTTCTAAGAAATTTCTCTATAAGATAATATTAAATATATATATATATATATATATATATATATATATATTTAATCTAAATAAAATATGTATATTTTTGACATTTCTCCCTCTTCTAAGAAGAAATTCCGCAAAAAGCGATGAACACATTTTGAGGAAGTCTAAGGTGCAACAAATTGTATTTGCTACATACTTTGATCTTTATTCATTTTAAAGATAGTTGATGGATCTACTTGACCATTAATATTGTCTCATTTTAAGGCAAAAAGACCACCTTTTTATTTAATCATTTTTTACACCTTTATAACTTAATTTAATTAAAATATTTAGAATACCATCAAGGATGGTCCTTACTTCCAATAATATTTCTAAAAATTGAAAGTCTTTTTCAAGGTTGTGATATTAAATATATTATATCTTATCATTTATTCTGATAAGAACATTTTATTATTGAATGTATTTATCTCTATTATGTCATCTTGAAGGCTATGATAATCTCAATGCTTTGTTTGGTATTTCAATAAATGATAACTTCTAAGTTGAATATATTAGTTATTACTTTTCTATCTTCTTAGCACCATAAATATACAATAATCATATGTAAGAATAGAAAATAGATTACAATCTTCATTAAATTTTATTTCTTTTGTAGCAATGAATTGCTTAATTCTTTATGTTGATTTCAATAGATGTCATCAATAAGAAGCATGAATCTTCTTTGCTTTATTTTTAAGATTCTTTGTTAGCTCCCATGTACATTTATTATTATTATATTTATGTTAATATACAAGATATTTTAATATATTTTGGTACTGCCTTAAGTCTAAGTCTTCTTTGACCTCAAACTTTTTATTATTGTCTACTTCTATAAATTAAATCGAGTTTTTTATTTTTATTTTTATTTTATTTTTTTATTTTATTAATATACCTACTATATTATGTGGCTCAAGCAAAGACATATAGAATATAAGATAAATGATCATAGATTTCAATTGGTATAATTAATAAGCAACTAGATTGATGTTTTCACAAAAAGAAAATTATCTAAATTTATGAAAATTTAACTTATTATAAAGATAACTAGTCTTGATATTATGATAAAATAATTATACCTTGTTGCTAACATAAATTTGAGGTTGTTTTTTTTCATAAATATTTATATTGATTTTTTTTTTTTTTTTTTTTTTTTTTTTTGAAGCTTTATTTTTTTTTAATTCTTTGATGTAGCTCTAATATTTCATTTGTCACATCATCTACTATAAGATTATTAACTTTTAAAAAATTAAAAGTATTAGATTATAGATGATAATCATAATTAGTTGCCACAGATATATATCTACTATAATCATTATCTAAGTAAGTCGAATTAGGTAAAAATAGGTTAATTTCATAATATCTTCTAAAAAAGCTTTTTAAAAGCTTTTCAGATGTTGTTTTGACTTTATATATATTTCTAATTGATTGGTAGGTTAGAAACTTGGTCAACAAGCTATCTATGTGCCACATATGTTGGTAGCTTATGAAATAAGCTTACTATGTAGCGGTTATATAAAAGACTTGCCTTACAAATCAAGATATGTATCATACAAAGTCAATACGTTTTTGGAGATCCTATAGAATGTCAACACATAGATCTTAGGTAGATAGTATATATAGAGGAAAAAGTGAAGCCTTCTTCACCCTTGTCAACTCCTTTTTTGTTTCTAGTCTAGATTCAAGAGTTTCTAGTTTTCTTGTCTTTTGGCAATAGCCATTCTAGTTTCTTTTTAATATACATACTTCTTTATTTTTATTTTGTTATACTTGTTTATTTACTTTGATCAAGTTTTTTTTCCTTGATAAATTATCAAAGGTACACTTAAATTATCAAAGCCTTGTCTTTTCTTAATTAAGAGTGGATTACCCCTTTCTCTTGATAAGGCATAAGCATATTAGAAGTTGCAAATTATCTTCTTTTAAACTGATATTGTTTTTAGTATCTTCTTTGATGTCTAGTCCTCTCTTCTACAAGACTTGAGTAAAATTAGATTTTTTTTTTTAAAGTATTATCATGGCAAAACTTGTTGAAATGAAGAGTGCAATGGTACAAATGCAAGGGCAATTGAAGAAATTAATGCTTGTGATGCATGAACTTAGTTTATCACCACAAGGAGTAATAAGAATGATAGGAAATGAAAATATAGATATGATTGGAGCTACTTCAACATCTCCACTAAATCATGTCTCTTCTTCTACGATAGAACATTCTTTTGGTACTAGAGAACCAAGAGTTGCCTTGCGTAAGAAGTTTGATGGCATAAGATTTAAGTTTTGAAGATTTATCAATCAAGTACAACTTGTGATTGAACTTCAATTCCAAAGTTATCCAGGTCTAAGATCACAAGTTAGATTCATTGGTACATTTCTTTCAAATTCAACATTATCATGATTTTCATCTTTTTTTGAACAATGAGATCTAATACTGGATAATTTGGAGGTTTTTTTGGTGGAGTTTTGATCCATATATGGTAAATATAATGTAATTTGTGTTACAACCAATAAGATCCATATTTTACAACAAGACAATCAATCCATAACATTATATGCTTCACAATTTTGACAATTTTTAACTAATATCCAATAGTCTGATGTTGCACTTATTAGCCAATTTTTCTATGGATTATAATATGAGGTAAAGAAAATGATGCTCAACTTATTTGATTCTCAAACATTGAATCAAACAATTAACTTTGTTGTAAAGTATG